CTCCCTCCTAGAACACCCCCCCCTCCTCCTACCACAAATTCCCCCCCCATCCCCCTCCCTAGCACAACCTCCCCCATCCCCTCTCCTACCACAAATCCCCCCCATCCCCCTCCTAGTACAAAGTACCCAAAACCCCCCCTCCTAGCAAGAATCCTCTTCCTTCAATCCTCCCCACCTAGGACAAATTCCCCCAAATCCCTCCCACCCACCCCAGCACCTCCCCTAGATTCAGCCATGGTGGAGAGTAGGGAAACCAGGGGCTGTGGCTGCGTCCTAGTTCGCCCAGTGGTAGCACCGGCCCTGGTGATCAGTACCAATCACTCATTGTGTTCATTCAGGAAAGGAAGGGGCTGGTAAATTGTGATGTGTTTACCGGACCCTTCCCCCACTCTGCATCCTGAAGTATCCTATTGTGTGCTTGGGAAGGAGATGGGGAATGCCGGCAGCACTGCGGGGGTGCATGGGGAAACTAATGGGGCACAGGGAGGGTGATGGGTGTGGTGGGGGAGGGGGGCACTTACTGGAAACCCGATCCCCTCTATATTCTCTCTCTGGAGCAGCTGTAAGCCAGCGGGAGGGAGAAGAGAAGCCGGCTTTCAGCTGCTGCAGAGAGGCATACAGGGGATGGGTTCCAGTAATTGCCCCCCGCCGTGCCGATCACCAACCCCCTACCCCACATCCCATTCACCCGGCTGCCCTGGGCCCCGTACAGGAGGACCCGGGGTACCCCGTTTATCCACAGGCCCCGCCCATTACATGTGTCCTAGAACCAGTAATGATACATTGTAACAAATATGTTTTTATTAGATCATTTTCCCGGCAATCACAAAATAAAAATATCTCATTGCCATTCTTGGATTGCACACGCTGTATGTCCCGATAAAGCTTTTGTCATTCACCCTTCAAAGCATAGATCCACGGTGGACGGAGCCGAAACTTGGAAACTTCTTCATATAAATACTTTATTGGTTACATAAGTACAAAACCCAAATACTACCAACGCGTTTCGGCTTAGGAAGCCTTCCTCATAACATCTGCTATGAGGAAGGTTCTGTCAGCCGAAACGCGTCAGTGGTTTTGGAATGTGTACTTATGTAACCAATAATGTATTTATATGAAGAAGCTCCAGAGGTGCCGATACCGATACTGTGAGCCTACAAGAACCTGGAGCTGGGAACCATTGCAGGGTCAGAAGCTCAGAGAACAGGAAGAGGACCGAGCATCACCGCTGTGAAGATTTCTCCATTATCCAACTCCCTGCACAACATGAGACGTACTTCATTACAGGGATGTAGCGGTAGGGATTCTTTTTTTTTTAGCTACTACACTTTTATTTTTTAATACATTTTAATGCAGTTTAATTTGTTCAATCGTGATCACCCCGCAAACCGTTTTTGAAGCCCCGAAGAAGTGGGGACCTGTCCCCCGAAACAGGTACTTATTTAGGAATGATCATGAATATATTTCCAAGTGAGATGTCCCACCAGACACTCCCAACCACAGATCCTGGATTTGGTTCTTCTGCTGGATCGTTTCCTCCATCGTGCTCCGAGACGGGGCAGCCTGGGACCAGAACCAGGTCCACCCACCACGCCGCCCCTCGCAGGATTACCTCCGCCAAAGTGAACGCAGCGCTTTGGATTTACACCGGAACAGCTCCTCATTCCCATTGGTCCAGAGCTATTGACCAGATACCGCAGTGGGATTGATATCTATAGCCATAGAAAGCCATAACAAAACAAAAACAAAAATAAAAAAACAAAACAAAATAAAAACCAAAAACAACCAAATATAAAAACAAACAAAAAAAACAAAACTAAACTAAAAACAAACAAAAACAAAACAAAAAAACTAAAACCAAAAATAAACAAAATCAACAAAAATTAAAAAAATAAAAACAAAAACAAAACCAGTGCTCTAGGATCCATCCCAATTATTTCCCAAAACATTTCACTGACATAAAAAAAAATAAAAATAATAATAATTGTCCATAAATTCCAGGTGCGGATGGTCCGGAGATTGGAGAATGAAACCCAAAGTATTTCTGCTCATGTCTGTGCGGACGGCTATTATCCAAAGGAAACCATCGCTATAGATGAAGGTCCATCCCAATCATTCCGTGTGACGTCATCATGTTAGACAGACACATGGGGCTCATCATCCGTCTGTCAAATGTCGCTGAGGCAATGCCAGCCCCTATCTGCGGTCTGCGGTACTGCGCCTCACTTCTTACCAGCCAAGTATAATGTTATCATCCTATTTACATCAGAAACATTCGCTGGCCGTCCGTATAGGGAAGGGGCCCCCATACATGTCACATAAAGCCGAGGGGCCCCATACATCTCACATATAGCCGATGGGCCCATACATCTCACATATAGCCGAGGGGCCCCCCACACATCTCACATATAGCGGAGGGGTCCCCACACATGTCACATATAGCGGAGGGGTCCCCATACATGTCACATATAGCCAAGCGGGCCCCCATACATGTCACATATAGCCGAGGGCCCCCCATACATCTCACATATAGCCGAGGGGTCCCCATACATCTCACATATAGCGGAGGGGCCCCCATACATGACACATATAGCCGAGGGGCCCCCATACATGTCACATATAGTGAAGGAGTCCCCATGCACATCTATGCATATAGCGGAGGGGCCCCCATACATGACACATATAGCCAAGGGGCCCCCATACATGACACATATAGCCAGGCGGCCCCCATACATGTCACATATAGCCGAGGGGCCCCCCATACATGTCACATATAGCAGGGGCCCCCATACATGACACATATAGCGAAGGGTCCCCATACATGACACATATAGCAGAGGGGCCCCCATATATGACAGATATAGTAGAGGGGTCCCCATGCACATTACATATAGCAGAGGGGTCCCCATATATCTCGCAGATAGGGGAGGAGTCCCCATCTCACATATAAAGAGGGGGTCCCCAAACATCTCACATATAGTGTATGGGTTCCTATATATGACAAACATAGTGGAGGGGTCTCCATATATCTCACATGAAGAAGAGGGGTACACATGTATCTCGCATATTGTTGAGGGGTCCCAATATACAAATATATTAGAGGGGTTCTTATGCATCTCAGAGATAGTCAAGGGTCCCCATGTATGTCTGATATGTGGAGGGATTCCTATGTATCTCACCCATAGTGGAGAGGTCCCTATACATCTCACAGATAGTCAAGGGGTCCCCCTGTATGATTCCTATACATCTCACATAGTCAAGGGGTCCCCCTGTATGATTCCTATACATCTCACAGATAGTCAAGGGGTCCCCCTGTATGATTCCTATACATCTCACAGATAGTCAAGGGGTCCCCCTGTATGATTCCTATACATCTCCCATATAGTTGAGTCTCTGTATCTCACATATAGGTCCCTATAAATCACACATATAGTGGAGAGACCCCTATACATCTCACATATAGCAGAGGGGTCCCCATACATCTCACATATAGCAGAGGGGTCCCCATACTCATCTCCCCACATATATAGTGGTTGGGTCCCAAAGTATGTCAAATATATTAAAGGTGTTCCTATGCATCTCACAGATAGTCAAGGGGTCCCCATGTATTTCAGATATAGTTTTTGGGAGGGTCTTTTACATCTTACATATAGTATAGGGGTCTCTATAGTAGAGAAGGTCACATGTATGTCACGTGTAGTGGAGGGGTCCCCAATTATATCACACAATGGAAAATATAGTGGGGGGTCCCATACATGTCAAGTAGAGTGGAGGGGCCCCCATACAACTCTCATATACAAGATGGGTCCCCATATTTCACACCTATAGTGGAGGGGCCCTCATGCATCTCACATATACAAGGGGGGTCCCTGTATTTCACACCTATAATGGAGGGGCCCCCATACAACTCACATATACAAGAGGGGTCCCCATCTTTCACATCTATAGTGGAGGGCCCCCATACAACTCACATATACAAGAGGGGTCCCCATCTCTCACACCTATAATGAAGGGGCCCCCATACAACTCCCATATACAAGAGGGGTCCCATCTCTCACACCTAAAATGGAGGGCTCCCCAATTATATCACACAATGGAAAATATAGTGTGGGGGGGTCCCATACATGTCAAGTAGAGTGGAGGGGCCCCCATACAACTCTCATATACAAGAGGGGTCCCCATCTCTCACACCTATAATGAAGGGGCCCCCATACAACTCCCATATACAAGAGGGGTCCCCATCTCTCACACCTAAAATGGAGGGCTCCCCAATTATATCACACAATGGAAAATATAGTGGGGGGGGTCCCATACATGTCAAGTAGAGTGGAGGGGCCCCCATACAACTCTCATATACAAGAGGGGTCCCCATCTTTCACATCTATAGTGGAGGGGCCCCCATACAACTCATACAAGAGGGGTCCCCATATTTCACACCTATAGTGGAGGGGCCCCCATACATCTCCCATATACAAGAGGGGTCCCCATCTTTCACACCTATAGTGGAGGGGCCCCCATACATCTCCCATATACAAGAGGGGTCCCCATCTTTCACACCTATAGTGGAGGGGCCCCCATACATCTCAGTGTAAAGCCCGGCATTGCCCGTCACACGCCTTCTGCACGGGTCGCCATCACTTGGACCTTAGAAGAGAGGGACCACGACTACAACCCCGGACCAGTTTGTCTCGTTTTATCGATGTGCCCCTACACACTGCGACCCCTACGCGGTTTTTAGGCCGCTGTCCATCAAAATAAATACAATTCCGGGTTGGGGGCCCCGCTCGGGGGGGTCTCTCACACGTGTGCAGCCTGGGCCGCCTTCTCCACCCGAGGAGCCAATCAGCCCCTTTTCTTAGATCTAAACATGAGTAAGAAAGTCCCAATCGTCTCCCGATCACCGAACACCCCCGTGCAGCAGTCCTCCGCCCTCTGTCCAATCACACGCGTTGCGCACACTGCGCTCATTCCGTCACGGCGACGCCCCCCGCAGGGCACCATTAAAGTTTGCTGAGGAACATTAGCAAGGAGGAGTGAAATTCTTCAGGTCTGTCCATGTAACATGCATGCCCCGCCCCCTTCAGCGGGCTGAGGGTGTGGTTGGGTAGGTTCTGCAGGCTCTCCAGGGATTGGCTGCCCAGATTGGTGTCCAGTGTGCCGTAGACGATGAGGGTGGGGACCTGTGGGGAGTACAGAAAAATATGGCGTCATTTTTAGAACATTTTCCCTGTAATTTCTCTAATAGATGAATTCCTATAATCACATGATTGGGAGGGGATTGGAACACCTGAATCACATGATTGGGAGGGGATTGGAACACCTGAATCACATGATAGGGAGGGGATTGGAACACCTGAATCACATGATTGGGAGGGGATTGGAACACCTGAATCACATGATTGGGAGGGGATTGGAACACCTGAATCACATGATAGGGAGGGGATTGGAACACCTGAATCACATGATTGGGAAGGGGATTGGAACACCTGAATCACATGATATGGAGGGGATTGGAACACCTGAATCACATGATAGGGAGGGGATTGGAACACCTGAATCACATGATTGGAGGGGATTGGAACACCTGAATCACATGATTGGGAGGGGATTGGAACGCCAGAATCACATGATTTGAAGGGGATTGGAACACCTGAATCACATGATTTGAAGGGGATTGGAACACCTGAATCACATGATCTGGAGGGGATTGGAACACCTGAATCACATGATATGGAGGGGATTGGAACCCCTGAATCACATGATTTGAAGGGCGGGGCCCAATACTTTCAGCAATATAGTGTATATAGGAAGCCGGGCCGACAGCCCACCAGGCCCCGCCTACATCTATATGATCATTGATGGACTGACCCTTTAAAGCTGCTGTGGGCCTTTATATCTGACCGATGGACTTACCCTCTGCAGTCCCAGGCTGGGTCTACCCTCCGCCCATCATGTACCTACCTGGATCTGCTGGTACTGCTGCGGCTTGAAGCTTTTGGTCCCGACAGGGGCGATGGGGACAAATGCTCGGAGGCGGTCCGGATGCTGAAGGAGGAGGGGCAAGGAGAACAGGCCGCTCATGGATGGACTGATGAGAACCGGCTGGCGGGCCCCCAGGGACTCCATGATGTGCAGCAGGTAGTCTGTGCGGCCTTTCTCTGACGACATCGGCTGAGCCTGCAGTGATTGGCCGTATCCTGGAATGAGAGACACGCGGGGGGGGGGGGGCCCATCAGATCTCAGACATTCGCCGGGAAATCAGAAAAACATTCAAAAAGCTGAATTCTGAGACTGACAGCCAATCAGATCCCAGAAATGGGCCCTTTTATGTCATATGATCCAATGCAGCATGCGGAAATGTGCATTACCATGGCAACATACACCAGGAGCAGTGCGGTCAGTCTGCCTATTGTTTATAAACATCGATCAGACGGGAGACAAAGTAACATTGTTTATAAACATCGATCAGACGGGAGATACAAAGTAACATTGTTTATAAACATCGATCAGACGGGGGATAGAGATACAAAGTAACATTGTTTATAAACATCGATCAGACGGGAGATGGGGAGATACAAAGTAACATTGTTTATAAACATCGATCGATGGGGAGATACAAAGTAACGGTTTATAGATGACGGGAGACAGAGAGATACAAAGTAACATTGTTTATAAACATCGATCAGACGGGAGATAGAGAGATACAAAGTAACATTGTTTATAAACATCGATCAGACGGGAGATAGAGAGATACAAAGTAACATTGTTTATAAACATCGATCAGACGGGGGATAGAGATACAAAGTAACATTGTTTATAAACATCGATCGGACGGGAGATAGAGGGATACAAAGTAACATTGTTTATAAACATCGATCAGACGGGAGATAGAGAGATACAAAGTAACATTGTTTATAAACATCGATCAGACGGGAGATGGAGAGATACAAAGTAACATTGTTTATAAACATCGATCAGACGGGAGATAGAGAGATACAAAGTAACATTGTTTATAAACATCGATCAGACGGGAGATGGAGAGATACAAAGTAACATTGTTTATAAACATCGATCAGACGGGAGATGGAGAGATACAAAGCAACATTGTTTATAAACATTGTTCATAGTAGAGACAAAGCAGTGGCACAGCTGGCAGATCTCCCAGGACAGGTGCACTTTACCCATCAATGGTGGGGGGGAGGAAATATCACGGTTTATTGCATTAGAATTACCTGGCAGGTCGACGGCCAGCGCCCGATATCCGTGTTCCGAGAGGATCTGCAGAGTGCCCAGGTTTTCCCAGGTCTGTGAGGTGAAGGATTGGCCGTGTAACAGGAGCACCGCAAACCTGGAACACCGAGAATGGAAAATGTTTATCATGAACGCACCTCCTCACACGCACTTTCTGTTACAGGGTGACAACTCTCTGCCCCTGTCTCCGAATCCCTGTCCTGTGTTGTCACCCTGTCACAGGAGCTTTCCTCCCCCAGCCTGACTGGCCCCACCCCTTTCCTCCCCCAGCCCGACTGTCCCTGGTCCCTCCCCTTTCCTCCCCCAGCCTGACTGTCCCTGGCCCCACCCCTGGTCCCGCCCAGTGGCGGACTGACCATTTGGAAACTTGGGCACTGCCCGAGGGCCCGGGGTCAGTAGGGGGCCCCATGAGATGTCCCTGGTACCTTTTTCATAGGCTTTTTTGAGTTTGGGCAAGGGCACAGGGGCCCCATGATCCCCTATTGCCTGGGGCCCCATGAGTTGTCAGTCCGCCCCCCGTCCCTTCCCGCCCCCCTTCATTCATTCGCTGGATTCCACTCCTTTCAATCATGGAAGCAGGGGCGGACTGACAACTCATGGGGCCCCGGGCAATAGGAAATCATGGGGCCCCTGTGTCCTCACCAACACTCAAACCACACCCAAAAAAGCCTATGAAAGGTACCAGGGGCATCTCATGGGGCCCCCTACTGACCCCGGGCCCTCTAGCGATGCCCGAGTGCCCAAATAGTCAGTCCGCCCCTGCATGGGAGTCAGCATCACAGGTGGGCGTTACCTATGCAAATACAGCCTGCCTAGGAATGCCCACTCCTCCAGGCTGACACCCGCCCACCCAGGCATTTGTTTTCATTTACATAACTCCTCCCATCTGCTTGCATCAGGGGCTGAGGTCTCTTGAGAGGAGTAATGAATCGGGGGGACCCCTCCCACCAGCCATGATCTGCCTGCGCTGCATAGAGAAGCACAGAGACCCAGTGATGACCTCACTTCAGGCGCAATAAAAAATGAAAAAGGCTTTCTTTAAAAAAAAAAAAATGCGGCGGAGGAGAGACCGCAGAACGCTCAGCCCCCCCGCAGCACATTTTTCCTGCGCGTCTCACCTGGATATTTGGGCCCCGAGGACTCGTCTGTCCTGGGAATTCGTTGTTCTATATTTAGATAAGTCTCTGCAGACGTGTCAGTCGCACCGCCAGAGGCGGGGGAGGGGGAGGTGGGGGGGGGGGAGGGGCACTCATTTTCTGCAGCGTTCACAATGACGTCGCCGTCGGCTATAACAACAAAAATCTGCCTCCAGTTATATCAGAGTCACGTTTGGGGGGTCACACGTTATATCGCTGCTTTGGGGGTCCCATGTGTCAGATTATCGCTGCCTTGGGGGTCCCATGCCTCGGATTATCGCCGCTTTGGGGGTCCCATGTGTCGGATTATCGCCACCTTGGGGGTCCCATGTGTCGGATTATCGCCACCTTGGGGGTCCCATGTGTCGGATTATCGCCACCTTGGGGGTCCGATGCCTTGGGGGGGTTTTTTTTGCCATTCGTGTCCCCATTGGGAAGATTTCCCTTCACTTCCCATCCCATCGCCAAACCAGGAAGTGAGAGGAAATCCCAGAAGTTGTGTCCCCATTGGAAGAATTCCCCTCTATTCCTGTTTCTGGTGACAACCTAAAATTTGGGATCTCCTCTCACATTGGGTAAATAGAGACGGGGGGGGGTCACAGAAAGCAATGTTTGGACCCCCCGTCAGGTTTTTTTAAAATAGGGGTGTCACTAAAACAGGAAGTGAACCCCCCCCAAAGATCAGACTTGCATATACTGCGACTCTACTTAGTGAAGGAGACAAAAAAAAAAAAAAAAGAACTTGTCACTGAAACAGGAACAGAGAGAAAATGTTCCGTTGGGGACACCAGTCCCAGCCATTGCCCTCTGAAATGGAATTTCCAGTCACTTTGCTTCTTTTTTATCCCCCTCACTTCCTGTTTTGTGTCCTGGGACAGGAAGTGAAGGGAAATCTCCCCATGGGGGACACAGAGAGCAACAATAAACTGATATAGGGGGAGGGGCAAAGGAGATGGGAAGGGGGAGGGGCAAAGAGAGATGGGAAGGGTTAACCCTTTCCTACTCCATCCAAAGCTATGCACATGCTCAGTACTGAACCCTCAAACCACAATTACCCCCCCCCCCCCCCCCCATTTGCAGTGCGGCCGGGGTATTAGTGACCAGTCACACCGCTGCGATTTAAGATCGAGCCATTTGTGTGCGATTTCTGAAGACTTTATTGCGACTTGTGAAGATTTTCACCCATTTCTTGCGATTTGCAGAGCGATTTCCATTCTATTCCATGTCTGTGAAATCGCAACAAAACTGCAGAAAAAGTCCCAAAGAACTACTTTAGGAATGACAGCAAATCGCAGGTTCGGACGCCGACATTCACAGTCCTTAGATGCGATTTCAGGTGTGATCTCAATTCGCATTTTGCACCGGTGTGACTCGGTACTGACAGTGAAGTCGCACGACTGGGATCAGTGTGACTGGAAGATGTTCGATGCGATTTCAGATGTGATCTCAATTTGCAAATTGCGCCTGAAATTGCACCGGTCTGATGGGGCACTGCAGTGAAGTCGCATGACCTGGAGGGGGAGGGAATGTTAGATACGATTTCAATTCAGGAATCGCACCGCTGTGACCGGGCGCCGGCTGCATTCACATTTTGCAAGAACTACTTCAGAAATGGCGCTGCTGTAAATCGCAGAAGTTGAGCCGCTGACATTCACATTCGTTCGATGCGATTTCAGATGCGATCTCAATCCACAATTCGCAGCGATGTGACCCGGTACTTACAGTGAAGTCGCAGGATTTCACAGTCGGGATCGGTGTGACTTGTTAGATGCGATTTCAATTTACGAATCGCACTGGTGTGACCGGGCGCCGGCTGCATTCACATTTTGCGTCACGCCAAATCAAACTGCGCTTTTTCACCGCATCCATAACCGACCTGATGATTTTGCAAATCGCAGCGGTGTGACCCGGTACTTACAGTGAAGTCGCAGGATTTCATAGTTGGGATCGGTGTGTGGGGGGGTGTTAGATGTAATTTCAGGTGCGATTTCAATTCAGGAATCGCAGTGGTGTGACCGGGCGCCGGCTGCATTCACATTTTGCGTCACGCCAAATCAAACCGCGCTTTTGTGCCGTACGCACAGCCGGCACGATGATTTCCTCGCCTGCCCTGCATGCGGCAAAGTCGCTCCGGTACCTTGGCAAGTTTTGCGCGTTTAGTCGCTTCTTCTCAAGTGTGCGCCCAGGGATGGACTGACAACTCATGGGGCCCCCGGGCAATAGGGGATCATGGGGCCCCTGCAGGGGCGGACTGACAACTCATGGGGCCCCCGGGCAATAGGGGATCATGGGGCCCCTGCAGGGATGGACTGACAACTCATGGGGCCCCCGGGCAATAGGGGATCATGGGGCCCCTGCAGGGGTGGGACTGACAACTCATGGGGCCCCCGGGCAATAGGGGATCATGGGGCCCCTGCAGGGGCGGACTGACAACTCATGGGGCCCCCGGGCAATAGGGGATCATGGGGCCCCTGCAGGGGCGGACTGACAACTCATGGGGCCCCCGGAGCAATAGGGGATCATGGGGCCCCCGCAGGGGCACAACTAGGGGCCCCCGGGCATAGGGGATCATGGGGCCCCTGCAGTGGCGGACTGAAACTCATGGGGCCCCCGGGCAATAGGGGATCATGGGGCCCCTGCAGTGGCGGACTGACAACTCATGGGGCCCCCGGGCAATAGGGGATCATGGGGCCCCTGCAGGGGCGGACTGACAACTCATGGGGCCCCCGGGCAATAGGGGATCATGGGGCCCCTGCAGGGGCGGACTGACAACTCATGGGGCCCCCCGGGCAATAGGGGATCATGGGGCCCCTGCAGGGGCGGACTGACAGCTCATGCGGCCCCCGGGCAATAGGGGATCATGGGGCCCCCAGGCAATAGGGGATCACGGGGCCCCTGCAGGGACGGACTGACAACTCATGGGGCCCCCAGGCAATAGGGGATCACGGGGCCCCTGCAGGGACGGACTGGAACTCATGGGGCCCCCGGGCAATAGGGGATCATGGGGCCCCTGCAGGGGCGGACTGACAACTCATGGGGCCCCCGGGCAATAGGGGATCATGGGGCCCCTGTGTCCTTTCCCAAACTCAAAAAAGCCTATGAAAGGTACCAGGGGCATCTCATGGGCCCCCTACTGACCCCGGGCCCTCGGGCAGTGCCTGAGTTTCCAAATGGTCAGTCCGCCGCTGGGTGCGCCTTTATTTTTTTTGCCGCGATTCCCGATGAACGGCGATGCCAGCGCTCCGGGCGGTTTTATGTGCGTTCGTTGCGTTCTGGTCGGCGGATGGGGCTCCTGGTCCCGGAATGTGGCCCTCCCCAGGTGTACCATATGGGGCCACCTCACCTCTCGGCCGGGCCGCCCTCTAGGGCGCTGCGCGGCGTGGCCTCCCGGTAGAAGGTGGGCCAGTCCCCGGACAGGGTGGCGGTCCTCACGCTGACGTTCATGCTGTCCTGGGGGTCCGAGCGCGCGCTCTCCACTCTGGGCTCCTCCAGGTCCGGCTTGGCGGAGGGGAGAAGCAGGTAGAGGAGGACGGAGATGGACAGAACCAGAAGCAGGATGGCCAGCTTGTTCCGACCCAATCCCATCCTTGGAGGGAGCGCGGCCCCCGGGGGGAGCGCAGAGCTGCGATTTCTTCCCACACGATCCCCAACCGCTGCTGCTGCTGCCTGTGTGACGGCTGATCCCCACCCCAGCTGCAGCCTGCCCCTCCCCCACCCCTCTCCTTCCTCCTCCCCTCTACTGATCCTCTACAGGGGAATGGCAGCTTCTGTCGCTGTCCAATCACACGAACGGCTCGCTTCGGGGGCGGAGTCCCTCCATCGAATCCTTCATTTGTAACAACTGCGGAGGAAACTTTCATCCCGAGGCGCAGATCGCGCTTCATCCGTTCCTGCGGTGCGCTTTCCGTCCTGCGTGCGCTTCATCCGTTCCTGCGGTGCGTTTCATCCGTTCCTGCGGTGCGTTTCATCCGGTGCGTTTTGCGTTTTTGCACATGCGTTTTACAGGGGGAGGGGTTTAACTTGTTCCCGGGCAGAATAAAACACAAAACGCATCAAAAATGCACTACATGTTTTTCTGCAGCGACTTCATTGGAGTCCATAGAACCAAAAATGCAACGTTTTGCGTTTACAAAAGTCCCTGAGCCGGGTTCACACGGATGCGGCACGTTCACACGCAAATCGCATGCAGATCACATGTCCTGGCAGATCGCATCACATGTCCATGTCACGTATGTCCTGTCACAAATCGCATCCCTGTGCAGATCGCATGTCACATGTCCTGCAAATCGCATCTCTGTGCACGTGCATGTCACATGTCCTGCAAATCGCAGAGATCACATGTCCTGCAAATCGCATTTCTGTGCAGATCGCATGTCACATGTCCTGCAAATCGCATCCCTGTGCAGATCGCATGTCACATGTCCTGCAAATCGCATCCCTGTGCACGTTGCATGTCACATGTCCTGCAAATCGCATCCCTGTGCAGATCGCATGTCAGATGTCCTGCAAATCGCATTCCTGTGCAGATCACATGTCCTGCAAATCGCATTTCTGTGCAGATCGCATGTCACATGTCCTGCAAATCGCATCCCTGTGCAGATCGCATGTCACATGTCCTGCAAATCGCATCCCTGCGCACGTTGCATGTCACATGTCCTGCAAATCGCATCCCTGTGCACGTTGCATGTCAGATGTCCAGCAAATCGCATCCCTGTGCAGATCGCATGTCACATGTCCTGCAAATCGCATCCCTGTGCAGATCGCATTCACATGTCCTACAAATCGCATTCCTGTGCAGATTGCATGCAAATTCTGTGCAGTGCGATCGGAGGCGTACATTTTTTATGGATCAAATCGCACCGCGTCCGCGCCAAAAACGGGCTCGACCCTTTTTTTTTTTGTCCGCACTAGAATCGGATCGCACGGATGTTTGCACCCATGCGATCCGATTCTGCACATCGCACTGCGTTTTGCGAAGTGATTCCGGGGTGTTAACATACAAACCCGCGGCGGCTCGCATGAACGGTGTGCGATTGTGATGCGGTGCGGAATTCGCACTGAAAACGCTGCAAACGCATCAGGCTGAGCCCAGGATCACACTAACCCCGGGTTCATCTCTATGCGTTTTCCGCTGCATTTTGCAGAAACGCACAGCAGTCCATGTAACATGATTTCCTATGGGACGGGTTCACATCTCCACGTTTTCACCTCGCTGCGTTTATATGGAAATGGCCGGGCCAGTTCACACTCCATGCGTTTCAGTTGCTTTTTTTTCCTGCATCCAAAACGCACAGAAAGCCGGTGATATGGTTGTCAGTGTCATCGTTCACATCAGCGCTCGCAGTTCCGGTGCGTTCCGGATGCCGAGAAAAAAATTAGAACAGGCTGCGGTATAGAAACGCAGTCCGGATGCGTTCCAGACATGTTTCCGATGCGTGTTTTTGCCATGTTCTGGTGTGTTTTTTATGCATTCTGGACCAGTTCACGCTTCATGCGTTTCAGTTGCTTTTTTTCTGCATCCAAAACGTCGGCGAGATGGTGGTCGGTGTCATAGTTCTCATCAGCGCTCGCAGTTCCGGTGCGTTCCTGTTGAAGAAAAAAAAGTAGAACAGGCTGCATTTTTCCTGCACAGAACTGTACGGGAACGCGGTAAAACGCATCAAAAACGCACATGTCCCTATTTAAATTGAAGAAAAAGAGGGGGGGGGGGAAATGAACCGAAAGCAAAAACGCACCAGAATGCGCCAGAAACATATGCAAAAATGCATCTGGAACGCATCTGGACTGCATTTCTGCAGTTCAAACAGGCCCTAAATAGGGACATGTGCGGTCCGGTGCGTTTTTGATGCGTTTTTACCGCGTTCCAGTATGGTTCTGTGCAGGAAAATGCGGCCTATTCTTTGTTTTCTGCAACTGAAACGCATGTCATGTGACCCGGCCCTCCGGGAATTTTTTGACCGCGAAAAGTCGGTTCTATAGACTTTTATGGAAACGCTACAGAAAAGTGTGTATTTTGCCGCGTTTTTTATGCGTTTTTCGTTTTGCCTAGCAACAAAAGAGATTAAAAAAAGTGGATAAAAACAGCAAAACGCGGCAAAAATGCAAAACGCAATGCAGAAACGGGTCAAACGCAACCCGCAGAGGTGCGATCCGAGCCTCGTGTAGCCCATTGTGGAGTTCTCTGCACACAGCGCTCTGCAGGGACGGCGCAGGTCCAGTAGGGGGCGCAGGTCCGGTAGGGGGCGCAGGGACGTCGCGGGTCCGGTAGGGAGCGCAGGGACGACGCGGGTCCAGTGGGGGGCGCAGGACGTCGCGGGTCCAGTGGGGGGCGCAGGACGTCGCGGGTCCAGTGGGGGGCGCAGGGACGTCGCAGGTCCGGAAGGGCCGCAGGGAAGGCGCAGGTCCGGTGGGGGCGCAGTGACGGCGCAGGTCCGGTAGGGGCGCAGTGACGGCGCAGGTCCGGTAGGGGCGCAGTGACGGCGCAGGTCCGGTAGGTGCGCAGTGATGGCGCAGGTCCGGTGGGGGGGGCGGAGCGGAGCAGCCATGACGTTTGCTGTATGAAGTTTGCTGCTTCCTGTGTGAACTTTAGACTCGCGCTGATTGGACGGCGGCGGAGACGGTCAGTTCCCTCCTCACCTCCCATTAATTATCAATTCTAATGAAGGGAAGTCAGGGAGAGCGCAGGCTGGGGGGAGGGGCATCTGCAGAGCATTGCACCATGTACATAAAAAAGACCTGAAGAGTCTCTGCAGAGCATTGCACCATGTATAGGGTAGTGTCTGCAGAGCATGCACCATGTATAGGATAGTGTCTGCAGAGCATTGCACCATGTATAGGATAGTGTCTGCAGAGCATTGCACCATGGGATAAGACCTGGACAGTCTGCAGAGCATTGCACCATGTATAGGATAGTCTGCAGAGCATTGCACCATGTATAGGATAGTGTCTGCAGAGCATTGCACCATGTATAGGATAGTCTGCAGAGCATTGCACCATGTATAGGATAGTGTCTGCAGGCACAATGTATGGGTAGGCCAGACAATTCAGACAATGCAGAGTTTCTTCTCCGTGGAACTACAACTCCCAGCATGGTTCAGCCAGGTCCTGCAGTGAGCCGACTTCATCCACTGTGGTGCAACTAACGCTCCAGAAGTCCCGCACGCAGCATTTTCTGCACTGCATCGCAGGGGTACTGGGGGAATGTATTGGAGTCCTGGGGGAATGTATTGGGGTCCTGGGGGAATGTATTGGGGGTCCTGGGGGAATGTATTGGAGTTCTGGGGGAATGTATTGGGGTCCTGGGGGAATGTATTGGGGTCCTGGGGGAATGTATTGGAGTTCTGGGGGAATGTATTGGGGTCCTGGGGGAATGTATTGGGGCCCTGGGAGAATGTTTTGGAGCCCTGGGGGGATGTATTGGGGCCCCGGGATGTATTGGGGCCCTGGGAGAATGTATTGGGGTCCTGGGGGGATGTATTGGAGTTCTGGGGGGATGTATTGGGGCTCTGGGGGAATGTATTGGGGTCCTGGGGGGATGTATTGGGGTCCTGGGGGAATGTATTGGAGTTCTGGGGGAATGTATTGGGGTCCTGGGGGGATGTATTGGGGCCCTGGGAGAATGTTTTGGAGCCCTGGGGGGATTATTGGGGCCCTGGGAGAATGTATTGGGGTCCTGGGGGGATGTATTGGGGCCCTGGGGAATGTATTGGGGTTCTGGGGGGAATGTATTGGAGTTCTGGGGGAATGTATTGGGGCTCTGGGGGAATGTATTGGGGTCCTGGGGGGATGTATTGGGGCCCTGGGGGATGTATTGGGGCCCTGGGAGAATGTATTGGGGCCCTGGGGGATGTATTGGGGCCCTGGGGGATGTATTGGGGGGCCCTGGGGGATGTATTGGGGCCCTGGGAGAATGTATTGGGGTCCTGGGGGGATGTATTGGGGCCCTGGGAGAATGTATTGGGGTCCTGGGGGATGTATTGGGGCCCTGGGAGAATGTATTGGGGCCCTGGGGGATGTATTGGGGCCCTGGGAGAATGTATTGGGGCCCTGGGAGGATGTATTGGGGCCCTGGGGGATGTATTGGGGCCCTGGGAGAATGTATTGGGGCCCTGGGGGATGTATTGGGGCCCTGGGGAATGTATTGGGGGCCCTGGGGGGATGTATTGGGGTCCTGGGGGGATGTATTGGGGCCCCGGGGGAATGTATTGGGGTCCTGGGGGGATGTATTGGGGCCCTGGGAGAATGTATTGGGGTCCTGGGGGGATGTATTGGGGCCCCGGGGGAATGTATTGGGGTCCTGTGCAGAATGAATGGCGCTGCATCACGCCAACGCACGCCGGGGTCCTGAGCGGTGATTTCTCTCGGGGGCCCCATATATACACACACACAGGCGCAGGGGCCACACAACTGACGCTGAGACTTCGCCAGATTTCATTGGATCCATAAATTTCTGGATTTGGGATGCTCCGCCCCCCGCCGGCCTCCATTGTTCTCGGTTTCTGGCGCCGGGTGTGTCCATTCTCCTCTTTCACACACATGAAGGTGCTTTTGAGGCCGTTATCCGTGTGAGCAGCTGATTGGCCGGTATGATAAGTTCCCCGCCTCCTCCTGTCCACCCAGATAATGGGAACTTGGAGCGCCGCCATCACCTCATTGGCTTCAAAGCCGGCCATAGATATAGATGAATCTCAGCCCCGGGAGCCGGGACTGCCTGAGACTCAACTACACTGCACTGCCAAAAGTATTACCGCCCCCCTCCCAGTCATGTGACTCAGGTGTTCCTATCCCCTCCATGGACTCAGGTGGATATCGTGTTTCCCTGAACATAAGACTCATATTTTGTTTGGCTCAAAAACACACAATAGGTCTGATTTTTTTAAATGTCCAGGTGAGGCCGGGGGGAGCTGTGGCCGGGGGGGTGCAGAGGGGAGCTGTGGACGGGGGGGGAGGGGGTGCAGAGGGGAGCTGTGGACGGGGGGGGGGGGGGGTGCAGAGGGGAGCTGTGGACGGGGGGGGAGGGGGGGGTGCAGAGGGGAGCTGTGGACGGGGGGGGGGGGGGGGGGGGTGCAGAGGAGGAGAGCTGTGGCCGGGGGGGGGGGGCAGGGGGAGCTGTGGTCGGGGGGGGGGGCAGAGGGGAGCTGTGGTCGGGGGGGGTGCAGGGGGAGTTGTGGGGGTGGGGGGGGGGGGCGGGGGGAGCTGTGGAGGGGGAGGGGTGGAGGGGGGGGGGGGGGCAGAGGGGGAGCTGTGGCCTGGGGGAGGGGTGCAGAGGGGAGCTGTGGACGGGGGGGTGCAGAGGGGAGCTGTGGCCGGGGGGCTGCAGAGGGGAGCTGTGGCCGGGGGGGTGCAGAGGTGAGCTGTGGATGGGGGGGTGCAGAGGGGAGCTGTGGCCGGGGGGGGGGGTGCAGAGGTGAGCTGTGGCCGGGGGGGTGCAGAGGTGAGCTGTGGATGGGGGGGTGCAGAGGGGAGCTGTGGACGGGGGGGGTGCAGAGGGGAGCTGTGGCCGGGGGGGGGGGAGGGTGCAGAGGGGAGCTGTGGACGGGGGGGGGGGGTGCAGAGGGGAGCTGTGGCCGGGGGGGGGGGTGCAGAGGGGATCTGTGGCGGGGGGGGGGGGTGCAGAGGGGAGCTGTGGACGGGGGGGGGGTGCAGAGGGGAGCTGTGGACGGGGGGTGCAGAGGGGAGCTGTGGATGGGGGGGTGCAGAGGGGAAATGTGGCCAGGGGGGGGTGCAGAGGTGAGCTGTGGACGGGGGGGGTGCAGAGGGGAGCTGTGGCCGGGGGGGGGGTGCAGAGGGGAGCTGTGGCGGGGGGGGGGGGGTGCAGAGGGGAGCTGTGGCCGGGGGGGGGGGGGGTGCAGAGAGGGAGCTGTGGCCGGGGGGGGGGGGGGGGGGTGCAGAGGGGATCTGTGGCCGGGGGGGGTGCAGAGGGGAGCTGTGGACGGGGGGGTGCAGAGGGGAGCTGTGGCGGGGGGGGGGGGTGCAGAGGGATCTGCGGCTGGGGGGGGGTGCAGGGGGACTTTCTGTGCAGGGGAATCTGGGGGGAGCTGATGTAAGGGGGGACTCTGGGGGAGCTGTGTAAGGGGGGGGGGGTCAGGGGGGAGCTGATGTACGGGGGGGCACTCTGGGGGGGGAGGGGACCATGATGTAAGGGGGGACTCTGGGGGCCCTGATGTAAAGGGGGGACTCTGGGGGCCCTGATGTAAAGGGGGACTCTGGGGGCCCTGATGTAAAGGGGGACTCTGGGGGCCCTGATGTAAGGGGGGACTCTGGGGGCCCTGACAAACAGTTGAACAGCCGCAGGAAAGAAATGATATGATTGTGTATGAGCGCCACCTAATGGCCGTAATGAGGTATTTTTCTCACTAAGGTACTTCAGGGACAATCCTGCATTGTGGCCATTAGGTGGCGCTCACCCCTCAATCCTTGATCCGTGTTCATTCGTCCATCTCCCAGGCGGCCATGGCGGAGGTCCAGATACAGGAAGGATCGGTCAGCACATCAGGACAGACGTTGTTTTACCGGGAGGCGGTCCCAGCGCAGCCCCCCGAGCGCCCCCAAGCCCCCCGTCCTTCTCCTGCATGGAATTAGGTTCTCATCCCAGACGTGGCTGGAGCTCGGGACGCTGAACAAGCTGGCTGCTGCTGGACACCGAGCCGTCGCCATCGACCTGCCAGGTGTGTAGAAGACATTGCTCCCGCCCATTTAAAGGGCATGTCTGATCCAAGTCAATGCATATATTCTCAGCAGGACATTCCCTTTAAGAACTCTGCAAGTACAGAGAAACACCCAGTGATCTCCCAGAGGTCCAGAGAGCCCCAGACTTCCTGTAGTGAGCTGACAACGCTGCCTCTGCTGCACTGAAGGCCCGAGCAGTGTTGTCAACTCTGCCCAGATTGTCCCCATACGAGACTACAAAACACCTCCCCCCCCCTCTTCATCTCATAACATATGTTGGAGTTCTGTAGTCCAGCAGGGAAAAACTGGACAGGGCTCAGTGTTCTCTGTACATCACCATGGGATATGTCAGTGCTATATACATGTATAATGATAATAGTGTGTGACTGTGGGGGAGGGGACATTAGAGTGTAAGCTCCTCTGTACAGAGACTGATGTGACTGTGGGGGAGGGGACATTAGAGTGTAAGCTCCTCTGGTGCAGACTGATGTGACTGTGGGGGAGGGGACATTAGAGTGTAAGCTCCTCTGGTACAGAGACTGATGTGACTGTGGGGGGGGACATTAGAGCGTAAGCTCCTCTGGTACAGAGACTGATGTGACTGCGGGGGAGGGGACATTAGAGCGTAAGCTCCTCTGGTACAGAGACTGATGTGACTGCGGGGGGAGGGGACAGTAGAGCGTAAGCTCCTCTGGTACAGAGACAGGATGTGACTGTGGGGAAGGGGACAGAGCGTAAGCTCCTCTGGTACAGAGACTGATGGGACTGTGGGGGGAGGGGACATTAGAGCGTAAGCTCCTCTGGTACAGAGACAGGATGTGACTGTGGGGGAGGGGACATTGGAGCGTAAGCTCCTCTGTACAGAGACTGATGTGACTGTGGGGGAGGGGACATTAGAGTGTAAGCTCCTCTGGTACAGAGACTGATGGGACTGTGGGGGAGGGTTCATTAGAGCGTAAGCTCCTCTGGTACAGAGACAGGATGTGACTGTGGGGGAGGGGACATTGGAGCGTAAGCTCCTCTGTACAGAGACTGATGTGACTGTGGGGGAGGGGACATTAGAGCGTAAGCTCCTCTGTACAGAGACTGATGTGACTGTGGGGGAGGGGACATTAGAGCGTAAGCTCCTCTGGTACAGAGACTGATGGGACTGCGGGGGAGGGGACAGTAGAGCGTAAGCTCCTCTGGTACAGAGACAGGATGTGACTGTGGGGGAGGGGACAGAGCGTAAGCTCCTCTGGTACAAAGACTGATGGGACTGTGGGGGAGGGGACATTAGAGTGTAAGCTCCTCTGGTACAGAGACTGATGTGACTGTGGGGGAGGGGACATTGGAGCGTAAGCTCCTCTGTACAGAGACTGATGTGACTGTGGGAAAAGGGGACATTAGAGCGTAAGCTCCTCTGGTACAGAGACTGATGTGACTGTGGGGGAGGGGACATTAGAGTGTAAGCTCCTCTGTACAGAGACTGATGTGACTGTGGGGGAGGGGACACTCTTGTGGTTACTGTACAGCACCGTGGAATATGTTGGTGATATATAATGTACACCAATAATAATTGTCTTGTTACCCTCTCTGTACAGGATTGGGCCGCTCCAAGGATGCTGTGGCCCCGTGTCCCCTGGCAGAACTGGCCCCGGCCTCCTTCCTACAGGAAGTGCTCGACTCTTTGAATTTGGCCCCCGCAGTGATAATAAGCCCCTCCCTCAGCGGCATGTACTCCCTTCCCCTCCTCCACCACAATCCGCAGAGCATCGCAGCCTACGTGCCTGTGGCCCCCATCTGCACAGACAAGTTCCCTGCTCAGGACTATGGCCGCATTCAGGTAAAGAGTCACTAATTTCTCTGCAGGTCGAATCTTCCTTCCAGAGGGTGAAAATACCACCATATGGCCGCTAGGTGGAGCCGACGATCGTAGCCAATAAGCATTTCTTTTCTTAAACTCATCACCCCCTCCTAGTGGCCATAATGCGGTACTTTCCTGATTCACTCTGAAGAATTTTCGACCTGGAGAGAAAAATAACCGAATAACATTTGACCGAACGCATGTGCGTGCAATTTAACAGGACAACATATTAGATATTTTTTTCAATTAAATGATTTAAATTTTAACATAGAATAATAATAAATATTTCATATTAAGATCATTTTTATAAATGTTTCCTCTACAAATGCTACATTAATTGTGCATTTAGGTTCGCTCTCTGATCGTGTACGGGGATGGAGATGAGCAGCTGGGGGAGGTCTCCCTGCGGAACCTGAAGAATCTGACCAATCACCAGGTGTTTTGCATGAAAGGGGCGGGGCATGCCTGTTACCTGGATGACCCAGACACCTGGCATCGCGGCCTCTTGGAATTCCTCGCAAGCCTGAAATGAAATTTCCAGAATGAAGGGCCGACCTGCCAACGCCATTGCATGCCGGATCGAACGCCATAGAATTCCAGATCAAACACGAATCGAACGCCATAGAATTCCAGATCAAACGCCATAGAATTCCAGATCAAACGCCATAGAATTCCAGATCAAACGCCATAGAATTCCAGATCAAACGCCATAGAATTCCAGATCAAACGCCGAATCGAACGCCATAGAATTCCAGATCAAACGCCATAGAATTCCAGATCAAACGCCATAGAATTCCAGATCAAACGCCATAGAATTCCAGATCAAACGCCATAGAATTCCAGATCAAACGTCATAGAATTCCAGATCAAACGCCATAGAATGCCGAATCGAACGCCATAGAATTCCAGATCGAACGCCAAATCGAATGCCATAGAATTCCAGATCGAACGCCATAGAATGCCGAATCGAACGCCATAGAATTCCAGATCGAACGCCGAATCGAATGCCATAGAATTCCAGATCGAACGCCGAATTGAATGCCATAGAATTCCAGATCGAACGCCGAATTGAACGCCATAGAATTCCAGATCGAACGCCATAGAATTCCAGATCGAACGCCATAGTCCACTGGACCAAATATTGCAATAATAAATAAAATGACCCCTCCCCCACCCTCTGCACCTCTCTGTATATATTGCGGCATTTCATACAATATACTGTTTATTGCACCAGCTGATTGTACAGACTGACAGATATCGTTTCTACAGACACAACACGACTCTCCTCCCCTCTATAGTGCAAACAAATGAGAATAGTGCTTTACAGAGAACGTTTAACCGCCAATATGGCCGCCTGCCCCGCAGAGCTTACAGTCTACAGACATTGGGCTCGATCTATAAAGCTGTCACACAAAAGCAAAGTGACGGTTATTTTAACATCGGCCTCTGCTAAAAATAACTGTCACTTTTTCAAAAAGAAGTCTCCTTATCCTAGAAGGGGTGGGGGCAGGGGGTTTATTTTTTTTTTTTTTTTTTTTGGGGGGGGGGGGGGGGCGCTGAGCCTGGCTGTTATAAAGTGAACCTGTCATGGGATATGAAGTGAGAAAGTTGATGTGATACGTAAACAGCAGCCAAAAGCAGATGTCTGCAGGTACCTCTGTTCTCCTCAGGGGGGCCCCCAAAACCCAGGAGGTCTGTTAATGACAACTCCCATCAATCCCTAAAAAACAAGAATGGGGGGGAGGAGTTGTGGTGGTCACAGGGACAAGGTCAGTAGTTTTAAAAATGACCTTCACCCGAAATATCAAGGTGTGCCCTCCTGCATCCAGAAGATCAGGTTGTGCACCCTGAAGGTCAAGTTGTGTCCCCTGCACCCTGAAGGGTCAGGTTGTGCCCCCCCATCCTGCATTTAGAAGAACAGGTTGTGCACCCTGAAGGTCAAGTTGTGCCCCCCTAGGTCTTGAAGCTCAGGTTGTGCCCAACCTGCACCCTGAAGGTCAGGTTGTGCCCCCTTTGCATCCTGAAGATCAGGTTGTGCACCCTGAAGGTCAAGTTGTGCCCCCCTGTACCCTGAAAGTCAAGTTGTGACCCATGCACCCTGAAGGTCAAGTTGTGCCCCCCTGTACCCTGAAAGTCAAGTTGTGACCCATGCACCCTGAAGGTCAAGTTGTGACCCATGCACCCTGAAGGTCAAGTTGTGCCCCCCTGCATCCGGAAGATCAGGTTGTGCCTCCCTGAACCCTGAAAGTCAAGTTGTGCCCCCCCCCCCGCATCCAGAAGATCAGGTTGTGCACCCTGAAGGTCAAGTGCCCCCCTGGTCCCTGAAGGTCAAGTTGTGCCCCCCTGGTCCCTGAAGGTCAAGTTATTCCCCCGTCTCTTCTCTTCATAGTGTGACCTGAGGACTGCAGCACATCTATGGACCGGTTTTCCTGGCCGTCCGTGCATGAGCAGGGTGTCCCACACACATACAAAGACTGCTAACCTTCCCAGGCTTTGCGCATGCGTAGAAAATCCACAGATGTGCTGATGGGTTCTGCCAGGACCTGAAGGCCAAGCAGAGTCTGTGGGAGCATCTCTGTATGTGCAGTAATGGTGGAGCTGGAGGGGGAGGCTGAACCTGTACAGAGCGGGACTGATGTTCCACTTTCACTCTTCCTCACTTTACCGAGCGTGTTTTTTTTTTTTGTCTTCCTGATAGGAATTGAGCCTCTTCATTAGGGGCCAAAAAAGGACATAAAAACATGATACGTAAGGGTTCAACCTTTCCCCAGTTTATCCAAATTGAGATATAAAATGTTTTTGGTGGAGAATGCGGGCAACACCAGCCACTTCTCACTCACTCAGTGTTGTTCCAAGATTAGTTGGGGCCACCCATAGACCCAATTGGGGGCCAAAAGGGTATAAAGACATGATACATAAGGGTTCAACCTTTCCCCATTCTATCCAAATCGAGATGAAATGTTTTTGGTGGAGAATGCGGGCAACACCAGCCACTTCTCACTCAGTGTTGTTCCAAGATTAGTTGGGGCCACCCATAGACCCACCAATTGGGGGCCAAAAGGGTATAAAGACATGATACATAAGGGTTCAACCTTTCCCCATTCTATCCAAATCGAGATGAAATGTTTTTGGTGGAGAATGCGGGCAACAACAGCCACTTCTCACTCACTCAGTGTTGTTCCAAGATTAGTTGGGGCCACCTATAGACCCACCAATTGGGGGCCAAAAGGGCATAAAGACATGATACATAAGGGTTCAACCTTTCCCCATTCTATCCAAATCGAGAAGAAATGTTTTTGGTGGAGAATGCGGGCAACACCAGCCACTTCTCACTCAGTGTTGTTCCAAGATTAGTTGGGGCCACCCATAGACCCACCAATTGGGGGCCAAAAGGGCATAAAGACATGATACATAAGGGTTCAACCTTTCCCATTCTATCCAAATCGAGAAGAAATGTTTTTGGTGGAGAATGCGGGCAACACCAGCCACTTCTCACTCAGTGTTGTTCCAAGATTAGTTGGGGCCACCCATAGACCCACCAATTGGGGGTCAAAAGGGCATAAAGACATGATACAGTTTATCCAAATAAGATCACATTTTTTGGGTGGAGAATGCGGGCGACCCGGGTGCTTCTCACTAATTGTCCAAGCTCTTTTGGATCCACCCCTAGCCCCACCAACAGAGTCGCATTTCAGCCCCATCAACCCTTGTAGATGGGTTTGGGCTATTAGTGGAGAGGAAGGTGAGATGTTTGGTTTCCAGGTCCTTCATATGGTGCTAATAGTTAATAATCTATATACTGTACCAGGCCTGGGCCCTATCTGATCAGCAGGGGCTGCCTGTGGGTGGCCCCAGTGCAGCGCCATTCCTTTTCAGCAGAGTGCAAGAGGAGAATGCACTCAGTATTAATCCCTCCCCTGATTAGCCCACCCCTCCTCCTTCTGGTTATGGCTCCACCTCCCTCCTTGATTGGCAGTAGAGGAGGTACTTGTTGTAAAAAGTCCTACTGGACCCTTCACAGATTTATGGGTGAGACTTTCCCAGGAGCTACAGTAGGCGGCACACTCGTTGGTATTGTTGCAGATACACGCATGGGGGGGGCATAAGTCACCTTTTTTTTATCACTCTGTTCAGGGCCTGGGGGCGGGACACAGAGGGAAAACCAGACCAGAGGAAGCTGGGACCGCTGCAGTGTATGAGGAGACACCAGGCATGGGGGTGGGGACGGGGATATGGGGGAGGGGCCCTTAAAGTGTATGGGGGGACAGGGAGGTGCAGGTCCTCTCTGATTTCTACTGCTGCCCGTGTCACTCATAATTTGATTTCTTAAACAAGATTTGATTCTGGTATGTAGACACTGGAGGACGCCATCATGGAATAGAATATAGGACCGTGCGTCAGTGATGTTACGGATTCCTCGCCATCCGATTGGTTTTCCTCGGACGTATGTCGAGTCGTTGTAAACTGGTTAGGATTAGTAGAATGGCCAGTAAAGCGGAGTCCAGTCATTGGAGAGCCTGGAGAAGACACATGATGTGCGCAGTGGGAGGCGGCTTCTAGAACTGCAGGAGCAGCAGGTAGCGCATACGGGCCTGGCTCTCCTTGTAGACGAGGTATTCGCTCTGACCGAAGTGCGAGTCTTTGAATTTAGACACATTTATTGGCGGTCCTTGAGGGACAGTGATTTTCCGCCCGTCCAGGATCAGCTCGTAATCCTTCTTGGGGTCTACAAGGAAATCATAGAATGACATATGTAACAATATCAGTATATATCACCAGTGCCGGGACAAGGCCACCTAGTGCCCAGGGCAAAGGGGACAACTAAGCCCCTCCCCATTATGGATGAGTATTCTACGTCAGAAAAATCCCCCCGCCCCCCCCAAAAAAAATCACGCACTAATTTGCATGCTAACCCCCTATCATCCCCTTGCAAGCCATAATTCTCCCAAACAAAAAAAAATTCTCCCGCCATCTAGTACTATCCCCCCCCCCCTCCACTGACGTCTCCCTCCCAGTACAAATCTTTGACCCCCAGGGTTTCCTTACCCACCCCCATCACCTCTTTGCTGGGAAGAGATGGGGGCAGGTAAGGAAAACTCTGACAGTCCTAATGCAGGAGCACTGTAGTGACAGGAGGGGAGAGAGAGCACAGCCCACACCTCCTCCCGGCTCTCTTCTGCTCTCCTTCCTGAAGATTTTTTTTTAACACCGATTGCTTTTACACCCATAAAATCTGTAAAATCAATCATTTCTCCTTCTCTAGCTGCATTCCTGCAGCCATCGAGAAATACTGTGTGAGCTGTGATTGGTCACAGCTTGTGACATGGTAAAAGGCTGTTGTGAAAGGCCCTGTACCATGTGACCTCTGTGATCATTCACAGATTTCACACGTAGTAAGCAATGATGTCAGAAAGTGACATCATTGCTTACTACTCTTCATGTGATCACTGATTGGCCAATCAGTGATCACATGATCGGGACCTCGCACAGAGGTCCGGTACGACGATCAGTGTTCCTCCGGACACAGCGGGCACCGGATCGCGATTCCACGCGATCCTAGGGAGCGTGCACAGGCAGGGAAGTGGGAGGACGTTTATAAACGGCCACACGCTCCTGCACTGCTCCTGTCCGGCCGTTTATATACATGAGCCGGACGGGAAGAGGGTTTAAAACTAAAAATTTGGCCAGAGATGTTTTTAAAGATCACCAAACCTCTCCACCACCTCGCCAATAGTATTTGTGAAATAAAAGGGCTGCCTGGGAGGAGCTGCTGATCTGGGGGTCGCAGGGTTTGGTCACGTGAGCTCTGTTGAAGGGTAAGATTACCCAATCAGAACCCTCGTGTTTTCCTTCGGCAAAGATCACATGACATATGTAGCATGATCGCGGAGTGGTACTTTCTCCATTTCGAATTGCAACATATAAGAGATTTTCATAATCCACACCTGGCTCTGTAAGTCCACGTGCCACCACGCTGTCATACCCTGCGGGGGCCTTCTTCAAGGATGGGTCATCTCTGGTGATGTGATACTCCTCTCCGAGGGCTACTTCATTCAGGAACATGATTCCAAGGGACTTTGAGGTGCAGCCAACTACAAGAGCAGGAAACAAATTACTGCCGTGGCACCATTGGTTCGGGTTTCATATATGTACATGACCATACATTGGTTAGCAATGTGGCCTCACAGCATTTGGTTCTGGGCTCAGTCCACCACCAGCCCACAGTTGCCCACTTGGCTATGTTGGAATTAACAGCCTACGGCCATAGGGGGAAAACTTTCCTTGCCCGATTGCACTCTTGGCTATGTTGGGTGTATAAATTGGGTACAGGGGGAACTCTCCCCGTCCAATAAGTTCCACCAGCCCACTCTTGGCTATGTTGGGTGTATAAATTGGGTACAGGGGGAACTCTCCCCGTCCAATAAGTTCCACCAGCCCACTTTGGCTATGTTGGGTGTATAAATTGGGTACAGGGGGAACCTCCCCGTCCAATAAGTTCCACCAGCCCACTCTTGGCTATGTTGGGTATAAACTCTCCCCGTCCAATAAGTTCCTACAACTGTAGGGGGAAAGGGGGAACTTCTTGTCCAATTGCACTCTTAGCTATGTTGGGTGTATAAATTGGTTACAGGGGGAACTCTCCCCGTCCAATAAGTCCCACCAGCCCACATCTGCATGGTTGACTATGTTGGGTATAACAGCCAAAGGACATGGAAGGAAAACTCTCCCCATCCAATTGCACTTCTGGCTGTTTTGGGTATAACAGCTGACAGCCATATAGGGAACACTCTCCTCGTCCAATAAGTCCCACCAGCCCATAGTTGCATTCTTGGCTATGTTGGGTTTAAAAGTCTACACCCGTAAGGGGAAAACTCTCCTCCTCTAATAAGTCCAACCAGCCCACAGTTGCACTCTTAGCTATGTTGGGTATAACAGCCGATGGCCATAGCAGCAAAGCTCTCCTCATCCAATAAGTCCCCCCAGCCCACTCTTGGCTATGTTGGGTATAACAAGCTACGGCCATAAGGGGAAAGCTCTTCTTGTCCAATTGCACTCTTGGCTATGTTGGGTATATATATTGGTTAGAGGGAAAACTTTCCTCGTACAAAAAGTCCCACCAGACCACAATTGCATTCTTGGCTATGTTGGGTACACCAAACTACGGCCATAGGAGGAACACATTCCTCCTCCAATAACTCCCACAGCCCTCAGTTGCACTCTTGGCTGTGTTGGGTATAACAGGCGATGGCCATAGACAAAAACTTTCCTTATCCAATAAGTCCCACCAGCCAACATCTGCATGGTTGACTATGTCGGGTATAAAAGCCGAAGGTCAGTATAGGGAAAACTCTCCTCATCTAATAGTCCAACCAGCCCACAATTGCATTCTTGGCTATGTTGGGTTTAAAAGCCTACAGCCATAAGATGCCCTCTTGGCTATGTTGAGTATAACAGCTGATGGTCATAGGGGGAAAACTCTCCTTGTCCAGTTCTACCATTCCACACATGCACTCTTGGCTATGTTGGGTATAACAGTCGATGGCCATAGGAGCAAATCTCTTCTGATCCAGTATGTCCCACCAGCCCATAGTTGCACTCTTGGCTATGTTGGGTATACCAAAATACGGCCATAGGGCGGGGGGGGGGGGGGGGGAACACATTCCTCCTCCAATAACTCCAACCAGCCCTCAGTTGCACTCTTGACTGTGCTGGGTAGAAACAGGTGATGGCCATAGAGGGGAAACTCTCCTCGTCTAATATGTCCCACCAGACCACAATTACATTCTTGGCTGTGTTGGGTATAACAGGCGATGGCCATAGACAGAAACTTTCCTTACCCAATAAGTCCCACCAGCCAACATCTGCATGGTTGACTGTGTTGGGTATAAAAGCCGAAGGTCATACAAGGAAAATTCTCCTCATCCAATTGCACTCTTGGCTGTGTTGGATATAACAGCTGACAGCCATATAGGGAAAAACTCTCCTCATCCAATAAGTCCCACCAGCCCACAATTGCATTCTTGGCTATGTTGGGTATAACAGCCGATGGCCATAGAAGCAAATCTCTCCTCATCCAGTATGTCCCATCAGCCCATAGTTGCATTCTTGGCTAGGCTATGTTGGGTATACCAAAATACGGCCATGGGGGGGGGGGGGGGGGGGGGGGGGGGGGGGGTACGACACATTCCTCCTCCAATAAGTCCCCACCAGCCCACAGTGGCACTATTGGCTAGGATGGGTATACCAGTTGATGGTCATAGGAGCAAATCTCTCCTCATCCAATAACTTCCACCAGCTCACAGTTGCACTCTTGGTTATATCAACCTATGGCCATAGGGGGGGGGGACACTCTCATAGGGGCGATAGCCGTAGAGGGAAACTCTCCTCATCCAGTATGTCCCACCAGCCCATAGTTGCACTCTTGGCTATGTTGGGTATACCAAACTACGGCCATAAGGGGAACACATTCCTCCTCCAATAACTCCCACCAGCCCACAGTTTCACTCTTGGCTATGTTGGGTAGAACAGCCGATGGCCATAGACAGAAACTTTCCTCATCCAATAAGTCCCACCAGCCCACAGTTGCACTATTGGCTATGTTGGGTATAACAGCTGATGGTCATAGGAGCAAAGCTCTCCTCATCCAATAAGTCCCACCAGCTCACAGTTGCCCTCTCGGCTATATCAACCTATGGGACACTCTCCTTGTTCTAGAAGTCCATCAACCACAGTTGCACTCTTGGCCGTGTTGGATATAACAGGCGATAGCCGTAGAGGGAAACTCTCCTCGTCCCAACAAGTCCCACCAGCCAAAGGTTGCACTATTGGGTATATTGGGTATAATAGCCAATGGCTGTAGAGCAGGGGTCTCCAAACTTTTCAAACAAAGGGCCAATTTACTGTCCTTCAGACTTCTGGGGGGCCAGATTGTGGCCAGTGGGGGGTAGAAAATGTCCTGGGCCCAGCATTAGTGAACATAAACATGGCCTAGGGGTTGGTGATCAGAAACAGGAGGAGTAGTGCTCCATCATTAGTATTAGTGTGGAGAATAATACCCCATCGTTGGTGTCAGGGCAGGAATTATGCCCCACTGTTGATGTCACAGGAATAGTGCCCAAGGGCCAGATATAAAGGCTAGCAAAGGGCCACATTCGGCCCTTGGACCACAGTTTGGACACCACTGCTGTAGAGGGAAACGAAGTTCCTCATTAACAATTTGTAAGCACTAACAAAGTTCGCCTTGAGATTTGGCTCCGGGCCCCAGCAAGTGAACAGGGCAGCAGTGGGTAGAAGGGGCTATCAAGAGATCCCGTCCCTCCTGAAAGGACAAAGGAGCACTTTGCCGCCATCTTACCGTATCCTGCGGATTTACTGTTCTCCGAGGCGAAGTAAATCCCTCTGCCCACACGCCCTCCTGAATGGGGCATTATGCGCAGGCCGCTTTTCAGGATGGCCGCCACCACTGCTACATTGGTGCCGTGCCACAGCAAGCGCCGATTCTCGATGTCCTCGTGCTCTTTGAGTCTTTCCTCCTGCGGGAACCAGAGATACAGAGAACAGCAGATTAGAAATGAAGGAAAGACAACGCTGGGACTGGTCACAATACAACATTTACTGAGATATTGACTGCTTAAGGCAGTGGTTCTCAACCTTCCTATTGCCGCAACCCTTTCATACAGTTCCTCATGTTGTGGTGACACCCAACCAGAAAATTATTTTCGTTGCTACTTCATAACTGTAATTTTGCAGTAAGAGGAATAGTGCCCCATCATTGGTGTCAGTGGGAGGAATAGTGCCCCATCATTGGTGTCAGTGGGAGGAATAGTGCCCCATCATTGGTGTCAGTGGGAGGAATAGTGTCCCATCATTGGTGTCAGTGGGAGGAATAGTGCCCCATCATTGGTGTCAGTGGGAGGAATAGTGCCCCATCATTGGTGTCAGTGGGAGGAATAGTGCCACATCATTGGTGTCAGTGGGAGGAATAGTGCCACATCATTGGTGTCAGTGGGAGGAATAGTGCCACATCATTGGTGTCAGTTGGGAGGACTATAGTGCCACATCATTGGTGTCAGTGGGAGGAATAGTGCCCATCATTGGTGTCAGTGGGAGGAATAGTGTCCCATCATTGGTGTCAGTGGGAGGAATAGTGCCCCATCATTGGTGTCAGTGGGAGGAAATAGTGCCCATCATTGGTGTCAGTGGGAGGAATAGTGCCACATCATTGGTGTCAGTGGGAGGAATAGTGCCACATCATTGGTGTCAGTGGGAGGATAGTGCCACACTCATTGGTGTCAGTGGGTAGAGGATAGTGTCCCATCATTGGTAGTCAGTGGGGAGGAATAGTGCCCCATCATTGGTGTCAGTGGGAGGAATAGTGCCACCATCATTGGTGTCAGTGGGAGGAATAGTGTCCATCATTGGTGTCAGTGGGAGGAAATAGTGCCCCATCATTGTGTCAGTGGGAGGAATAGTGCCCCATCATTGGTGTCAGTGGGAGGAATAGTGCCCCTCATTGGTGTCAGTGGGAGGAATAGTGCCACATCATTGGTGTCAGTGGGAAGGAATAGTGGCCACATCATTGGTGTCAGTGGGAGGAATAGTGTCCCATCATTGGTGTCAGTGGGAGGAATAGTGCCCCAACATTGTGTCAGTGGGAGAATAAGTGCCACATCATTGGTGTCAGTGGGAGGAATAGTGCCCCATCATTGGTGTCAGTGGGAGGAATAGTGCCCATCATTGGTGTCAGTGGGAGGAATAGTGCCCCATCATTGGTGTCAGTGGGGGAATAGTGCCACATCATTGGTGTCAGTGGGAGGAATAGTGCCCCATCATTGGTGTCAGTGGGAGGAATAGTGCCCCATCATTGGTGTCAGTGGGAGGAATAGTGCCCCATCATTGGTGTCAGTGGGAGGAATAGTGCCCCATCATTGGTGTCAGTGGGAGGAATAGTGCCCCATCATTGGTGTCAGTGGGAGGAATAGTGCCCCATCATTGGTGTCAGTGGGAGGAATAGTGCCCCATCATTGGTGTCAGTGGGAGGAATAGTGCCCCATCATTGGTGTCAGTGGGAGGAATAGTGCCCCATCATTGGTGTCAGTGGGAGGAATAGTGCCCCATCATTGGGTGTCAGTGGGAGGAATAGTGCCCCATCATTGGTGTCAGTGGGAGGAATAGTGCCCCATCATTGGTGTCAGTGGGAGGAATAGTGCCACATCATTGGTGTCAGTGGGAGGAATAGTGCCACATCATTGGTGTCAGTGGGAGGAATAGTGTCCCATCATTGGTGTCAGTGGGAGGAATAGTGCCCCATCATTGGTGTCAGTGGGAGGAATAGTGCCCCATCATTGGTGTCAGTGGGAGGAATAGTGCCCCATCATTGGTGTCAGTGGGAGGAATAGTGCCCCATCATTGGTGTCAGTGGGAGGAATAGTGCCCCATCATTGGTGTCAGTGGGAGGAATAGTGCCCCATCATTGGTGTCAGTGGGAGGAATAGTGCCCATCATTGGTGTCAGTGGAGAGGAATAGTGCCCCATCATTGGTGTCAGTGGGAGGAATAGTGCCCCATCATTGGTGTCAGTGGGAGGAATATTGCCCCATCATTGGTGTCAGTGGAGGAAATAGTGCCCCATCATTGGTGTCAGTGGGAGGAATAGTGCCCCCATCATTGGTGTCAGTGGGAGGAATAGTGCCCCTCATTGGTGCAGTGTCCCCATCATTAGTGGGAGGAGGAATAGTGCCCCATCATTGGTGTCAGTGGGAGGAATAGTGCCCCATCATTGGTGTCAGTGGGAGGAATAGTGCCCCATCATTGGTGTCAGTGGGAGGAATAGTGCCCCATCATTGGTGTCAGTGGGAGGAATAGTGCCCCATCAAATTGGTGTCAGTGGGAGGAATAGTGTCCCATCATTGCTGTCAGTGGGAGGAATAGTGCCCCATCATTGGGTGTCAGTGGAAGGAATAGTGCCCCATCATTGGTGTCAGTGGAAGAATAGTGCCCCATCATTGGTGTCAGTGGGAGGAATAGTGCCCCATCATTGGTGTCAGTGGGAGGAATAGTGCCCCATCATTGGTGTCAGTGGGAGGAATAGTGCTCCATCATTGGCTGTCAGTGGGAGGAATAGTGTCCAATCATTGGTATTAAGTCAGTGGAGGAATAGTGTCCATCATTGGTGTCAGTGGAAGGAATAGTGCTCCATCATTGGTGTCAGTGGAAGGAATAGTGCCCCATCATTGGTGTCAGTGGGAGGAATAGTGCCCCATCATTGGTGTCAGTGGGAGGAATAGTGTCCAATCATTGGTATCAGTGGAGGAATAGTGCCCCATCATTGGTGTCAGTGGAGAAAAGTGCCCCATCATTGGTGTCAGTGGGAGGAATAGTGCCCCATCATTGTGTCAGTGGGAGGATAGTGCTCCATCATTGTGTGTCAGTGGGAGGAATAGTGTCCAATCATTGGTGTCAGTGGGAAGAATAATGCCCCCCATCATTGGTGTCCAGTGGGATGAATAGTGCCCCCGATCATTGGTGTCAGTGGGTAGGAATAGTGTCCCATCATTGGTTATCCAACAACGTGGGAGGAATAGTGCCCCATCAATTGGTATTAGTGACACCAAATGATGGGGCACTATTCCTCCCACTGACACAATGATACTTACCTTGCTGACAACCCTGCTCCAGTCCTGGGCTTGCAACTCATACCTGGCTGCAGCAGCACAACCACCTGCAACATTACAGACAAACTTACACGGTCAGCTGTCTTCCTTCTCCCTCTTTCACTCGCTCCGGCAGATCCCTCACTCGATCTCTTTGATCTTCGTGCTGCCGCACGGCCTCCTCAACTCTCCTCGCCGGTGATTAGCCGCCTGTGTGCCTCTCCTGAGCTACAGTTCAAGTATCCGCGGCCAATCTCCGGCGAGGAGGTGGAGCTGTTGCGTGAATCCCGGGGGTGTGGGCCAGACTACAGGGGCGGCATGTCATCCCGCCCACACATCGCGGTCCAGGGAAATGTGGGCGGACCCACCTGGCGATGGATAGAGGATGCGGTGTCTCATGTTCCTATGTGTTTTCCATGTTCTTAGGCGGCCCCTGATGAAACGGTCGTTCGACCCCCCAAAGGGGCCCCGACCCAGAGGTTGAGAACCGCTGGCTTAAGCTATTCCTCAACCCAATCATTGAAATCTCGTAGGAGCTTTAGAATCGTTTATAACATGGTTTCCAATCTTCTGAAATCTGCAGCTTTCAGTAAAATACTCCCTGGTGATCCTGCCATGAAGATCCTTGTTCAGAACACTTCCTGTTATAGGGTGACAACGCTCTGGCCCTGTCTCCTAATTGTGCTCCTTTGTTGTCACCCCTGTTACATGCGCCCATCTGTTGGTAAAAAAAACAGTTCTGAGGCCAACAAAAGCCTATGGACACAAACCCGAAGTATGACTGACCTCCAAGTCTCGGGCCACACGCCAGACATCCAGGATTTTCAGTGACCTATAGGTGGGTCCCGTTTTCTTTACATATTTATCAATCACCTTTAAGAGATATAAGACGTTACATTTATAGAAGGCCGAGACTTTCCCATCATCCCTTGTGTGATGTCTGGTTATATTCACCGCATCCCGCTAAATGGAAAGAGCTCTGCGCCGAGTTCCCGGATCTGTACACCTGTGGTGCCCATTATGAGGGGTTCCCACCATCCCTGTGCTGAGATCCCAGGGCTGTATACCTGCTGTGTCCATTATGAGGGGTTCCCACCATCCCTGTGCCCATTATGAGGGGTTTCCCACCATCCCTGTGCCCATTATGAGCGGTTCCCACCATCCCTGTGCAGAAGTTCCCGGTCTGTACCCCCGCTGTGCCCATTATGAGGGGTTCCCACCATCCCTGCGCTGAGTTCCCGGGTCTGTACCCTCACTGTGCCCATTATGAGGGGTTCCCACCATCCCTGTGCTGAGATCCCAGGGCTGTATACCTGCTGTGCCCATTATGAGGGAATCCCACCATCCCTGTGCCCATTATGAGGGGTTCCTGCCATCCCTGTGCGGAGTTCCCCCGGTCTGTACACCCGCTGTGCCCATTATGGGGGGTCCCCGCCATCCCTGTGCTGAGTTCCCGGGTCTGTATACCTGCTGTGCCCATTATGAGGGAATCCCCACCATCCCTGTGCCCATTATGAGGGGTTCCCCCACTATCCCTGTGCTGATTCCCCGGGTCTGTACACCCGCTGTGCCCATTATGAGGGGTTCCCACTATCCCTGTGCTGAGTTCCCGGGTCTGTACACCCGCTGTGCCCATTATGAGGGGTTCCCCCACATCCCTGTGCCCATTATGAGGGGTTCCCACCATCCCTGTGCCCATTATGAGGGGTTCCCACCATCCCTGTGCCGAGGTCTCCCGGGTCTGTAACTCCACTGTGCCCATTATGAGGGGTTCCCACCATCCCTGTGCTGAGTTCCCGGGTCTGTACACCCGCTGTACCCATTACAAGGGGTTCCCACCATCCCTGTGCTGAGTTCCCAGGTCTGTACACCCGCTGTGCCTATTATGAGGGGTTCCTGCCATCCCTGTGCGGAGTCCCAGGTCTGCACACACTGCTGTGCCCATTATGAGGGGTTTCCCACCATCCCTGTGCTGAGTTCCTGGGTTTCAATTTTAAACAAAAAGTACTACATTTGGTCACAGGATGGAGGGAAGGATCATAGGGATTTCCTATACTACTCAGCTCCCCCTCTAGTGGCCAAATGCAGTATTACTCTGTTTACCATCAATGATTTATTGTTCAGTGATTTACATTTGAAACGTTTGACGTTTGTTTTTTTGGGGGGTTTTTTTGCTCCATTTCCACAGAACGAATATACACGTACCTTCCCTGGGCGAACAGCTATGCCAATTCTTTATGAATCAACCCCTTAGTGTGAATAGGGGGTAAATGATACACATTCTTAGCAGCAAATGATCCTAATATCAGGAAGGAGGAAGTTGGAGGAGCTGAAGGTTAGGTAGGGTAGGTAGATATCGAACCTTCAGCTCGTGGAACTTCCTCCCTATTTGATCGATCTTACATAGAGTCTAAGGTCGCCTTGTCCCTGATCAGTTGCTCGGCAGACAGGTCCTCTCACTCACCTTGTACTCCTCCGATTTAGGATCTAGTAAGGAGAGGTGACACTTCAACAGCTGATAGTCCACGTCCAGCGGGTGAGGGACCTCTTCCAGTTGGGATTCCTGCTCCTGCTTCACCTTGTCCGCCTGCAGAGTCTGAGCCAACTCGATGTCTGCCAGGACCTGATGGAGGAATGGAAGCATTTAGAGGAGAACAACGCGGCCAACTAGGTCTGGGTTCAAAGAACTGATTATGAAAAGAAAGCTCGGCAACCAGCAACATGTCCTTCTTGGCTTGCAGGACATCCAGGCTGTCGATAATTGGGGGTATCTGGCGCCCGAAGTTGTGCGGAATGATGGTGTAGAAGCGAGAGGTCAGGTCACTCAGCTCCTGCTTTTTGGCTTTTCTGTCCAACGCGGCCTGCAGGTTCTCCAGAGCGTCGAACCCCTTCGCTATCTGCCCCTTGCTCAGCTTCCCCAGCGGCATCTTCTTTATGTCTGCAACACAAACAGTTCATCTTTGCTTGGCGTCCACCTCAATGTATATCTAGCCATGGAGCTAGTCTATGAAGGTTCATCTTGTGCTCCTTTCAGCGGCGGACTGACCATTTGGAAACTCGGGCACTGCCTGAGGGCCCGGGGTCAGTAGGGGGCCTCATGAGATGCCCCTGGTACCTTTTTCATAGGCTTTTTTGAGTTTGGGGCAAGGACACAGGGGCCCCATGATCCCCTATTGCCAGGGGGCCCATGAGTTGTCAGTCCGCCCCTGGCTCCTTTCATTCAAGGATTTTATTACCAACATAAGGCAATAGAGCTAGCTCCTACTCTAGAGATGATGGTCACCCTATGGGCAAAGGTTCGTGAAACCTGGTCACCACGCCAACCCCCTCCTCAAATTGATGGAGTTCAGGTGTCTCCAGTGAAGGATCCAGGTAATATTCCATCATACAAAGACATTGTAGACAGTTGTGCTCCTCCAACCTTGTAACAGTTTGGTGAAAACACTTTTCTGTTCCACCATGACGTCCCCGGTGTACAAAGCCACCTCCATAAACACATGGTTTGGGGTGGAGGAACTCAAGTGTCCTGCACAGAGCCCTGACCTTCAACCTACTGAACATCTATAGGATGACCTGGAATGCCTATGGAGAACCAGATCTTCAACATCAGTACCTGACCTCACAAATGGGCACAAATGCCCAGACACCCTCCAAAATCTTGTAGAAAGTCTTTCCCAGAAGAATGGAGGATCGCCGCAAAGGGGGCATCTCCATATTAATGGCCATGGGGAAGGGGGGGCAACTACATATTAATGGCCATGGGGAAGGGGAGCAACTCCATATTAATGGCCATGGCGCAGGGGGGAACTACATATTAGCCATGGCGCAGGGGGGAACTACATATTAGCCATGGCGCAGGGGGGCAACTCCATATTAATAGCCATGGCGAAGGGAGGCAACTCCATATGAATAGCCATGGCGAAGGGAGGCAACTCCATATTAATAGCCATGGCGAAGGGGGGCAACTCCATATTAATAGCCATGGCGAAGGGAGGCAACTCCATATTAATAGCCATGGCGAAGGGGGGCAACTCCATATGAATAGCCATGGCGCAGGGGGGCAACTACATATTATTAGCCATGGCGAAGGGGGGCAACTCCATATGAATAGCCATGGCGAAGGGGGCAACTCCATATTAATAGCCATGGCGAAGGGGGGCAACTCCATATTAATAGCAATAGGGAAGGGGGGCAACTCCATATTAATAGCCATGGGGAAGGAGGACAACTCCATATTAATAGCCATGGGGAAGGGGGGCAACTCCATATTAATAGCCATGGGGAAGGGGGGCAACTCCATATTAATAGCCATGGCGAAGGGGGACAACTCCATATTAATAGCCATGGGGAAGGGGGCAACTGCATATTAATAGCCATGGCGAAGGGGGGCAACTGCATATTAATAGCCATGGCGAAGGGGGGCAACTCCATATTATTAGCCATGGCGAAGGGAGGCAACTCCATATGAATAGCCATGGCGAAGGGAGGCAACTCCATATTAATAGCCATGGCGCAGGGGGGTAACTACATATTAATAGCCATGGCGAAGGGGGGCAACTCCATATTAATAGCCATGGGGAAGGGAGGCAACTACATAATAATAGCCATGGGGGAAGGGGGGCAACTCCATATTAATAGCCATGGGGAAGGGAGGCAACTACATATTAATAGCCATGGGGAAGGGAGGCAACTACATATTAATAGCCATGGGGAAGGGAGGCAACTACATATTAATAGCCATGGGGAAGGGGGGCAACTCCATATTAATAGCCATGGGGAAGGGAGGCAACTACATATTAATAGCCATGGGGAAGGGAGGCAACTACATATTAATAGCCATGGGGAAGGGGGGCAACTCCATATTAATAGCCATGGGGAAGGGAGGCAACTACATATTAATAGCCATGGGGAAGGGGGGCAACTCCATATTAATAGAAATATGTGCGTTTATAATTTTTCGTGGAAAGGTCTACATTATGGTCACTAGATGGAGCCCAGGATATGCTCCTCAGCGCCATCTAGTGATCACAAAGTGGTACTTTCTCAAACCACACTTTTTTTTTTTAATGAGAGAATAACACTTGACCTGGAGAGGAAATAGGAGGAGAACATTTGATTTTTTATGAATGTACCCATAGTCCTTCTGGAGGAACAGTTATGCAATTCTTTAAAAAAAAAAAATACACCCCTAACCACTTCATATGGATTCCTGGTATCAACTGACAAGGGAAATATTTCTGTTTCGGGGAAGGGGGGGGCTCCTCTCTTTACCCAGATTCATGGTCTGCATGGCCTCCTTGAACATGTCGCTGCTGAAGATGAGTGTCATTAGGTCCTGGGTGGGTTTGTCCAGGGAACATGGCTTCACCTTCTTTGTCATGCCGTCCACTGTGTCCACCTGGGGGAGGGGGGATATATACACCTTAGTGGTCAGTATACATTCAACAAATCAACACACAATTGGGAGCTGTTGGTGACAGCTCAGGCCGTGCGCTAGGAGCGTGCTCTTCACATACAACTTGAGGTTACTGCGGATGCAGTGGCCCAGCGTTACGTGGTCATCAGGAGATTGATGAATGTGAAGTATTTATTAACAAATAATAAAAGCCTGTCCCCCCCCCCCCCCCCCGAGATCTTGCAACAGGTCGTGAAATTTGAAGAGAGGGGGAGTACGGCTTTTTTAAATTTTTCAGCAGATGTAGAGTAATGTCATATGGTGGAAGATGAGGTGTGAACATCATTCTCCTGATCTCACACATGCATGGTGCAACATGGGTGGAGCCTAATGTGACGTCACCACGCTAACCGGCTGGAACAAAAACAAATAAATGGGCGGACTATCTTTTTCTGCTTTTGTATGATTGTTGTGACAGGAGTCACTTTGGGTGGGGGGCCCATGGAACACTGCTCACTTTGAAGATGTGGGGAAACCCGTCTCAGCTCCTCATATCCCTCTTATGTGTAAGTCACCCTGTGCCTGTTAGGGGTAAAGGGTGATCTGTCCTAATATTAGGGTGGGGGGGTTGTGGATTGTTTAATGCCATGTGGTTGTATCCCATTGTTCTATTGCGTGTCTTGCTATGGGATGTATGTGTTTATGTGTATTGGCTTGGTGGGGAGGGTGGTGTCTCCAGCAGCCCTCCCTCCTGATGGGACTATCTGCTGGTGTGTCTCTTGTCACTGAAGGTCGATTGCCTTCCCTGTGTCATTATGCAGGGGGGGGGGGGGTTGTTCCCTTGAATGTATATATCTTGTATCTGTGTTTAAAATAAAGTAGTCGATTTCCTGATTTATTTCAAGATTGGTGTCGTCTAGTCTTGTATGGTCGGCTGTGGTGTCTGTTGTCGGTGTTCAGATGGGG